CCAGGGCCTGAAGGAAGAACTAGAGAGGATGTGGAAAGTCAAGGCCAAAGTGGTCCCAGTGGTGGTAGGAGCACTCAGAGCTGTGACTCCTAAGCTGGGAGAGTAGTTGTGACAGATCCAAGGAACAACTTCCGAGCTCTCTGACCAGAAGAGCTCAGTGCTAGGAACAGCTGAGATACTGTGCAGAACCCTCAAACTCCCAGGCCTCTGGTAGAGGACCTGAGATTGAGGAAGATACATACTACCCATAGGGGTGAGAGGGGATTTTTTTTTTTAATAATTCAAATGAAACTAACATCAGCCTTAGCTGTGTTCCCCCTCAGCTCCTTCAGCATAGCCATAGGAAGGAGATGAATATTTTCATTCTAGTTTATAATTTAGCATAGTTTGAAATCAAACTGACTATAATTAATATTCACTATAATTTGTTAAATTAAGCCAGATTCATAAACTATAGTTTGAACTAGACCTTGGCTTACTTCAAGGAAACCATAATTAGGATTAGCCACACTGTGTGTGTGTGGGGGGGGGTGTTGGAATGACAAAGCAAGCTGGGCTTGATCTTCAGAACTCTTCCTTGTGGCTCTGTCAGAGGCACCCAGGCATATCAACCCAAGGCTAAACATTTCACAGCACATGGGAGTTAATGGGAAATCTGTTGCAGATTGTATCTTTGCAAAAGGGACCTCCATCAATCAGAGGGAAGCAGACCAATCCCTGGAGTCCCTTTCCGTTGCTTCTCTGAAATTTGACAGCATGCTAAGCTGCCGAAGTGAGATGGCATTCTGCTAAAAATCTGTGGCAAAGCAGTTTTGACAGCTATTTTATGGGCTAATTTTAATATAAACATGCAAGACTACTTCATTTGGGTTTGGGAAAATTGGGAGTCTTTGTCCTGACATTTTGATGGGTTGAGTTAAAAGAAATCCCCAACACTGAGACCTGGTAGCTGAAAAAAGAAGAAAAAAACCCTGTAAACTTTAGTGTAGGATATAAGAATCAACTCTATTTTGGCCATTCCTGAAGTTTAATTCAGGCTAGAATTTCAAGGAGCAGATCCACTTCCATTCTTTCTTTACAGAAGGAAATGATCATTGCAAGAGCTAACTTTATACTGTCTCAGTGGGCACTGAGGCTGTGGGTACAACCTGAGAGTGCTTTTAGATCTTCCTTCCAGGCTGAGAGGCAGCACAGAAGGATGCCGGCGTCCTTCTGCCTACAGAGCTGGTCTTTTCTCTGCCTGGTGTCCAGGCCAGTGAGTGATACCATCCTGACCATTTACCATTAAGGAGGGGAGGAGTTTTGAGGTGCCAGGATTGGTGGATTTCCCTGTCAGTGGGAAAAAAATCTTCCACCAATCACCCTCCTAAAATAGGTGGGGCTGGGAGGGGAACTGCATTTTGACTTTAGAGGGGCATGTTTATCATCTCTAAGAGCCCTTAAATATAAGTACTGCTCAGTTCTAGCAATTTTGATGTGACCTCCTTGTCAGAACCAAATGACCTGATAGGAAGGTTGCTGTAGCAGCAGTTTGGTTTACAGGGGTCTTAATGTACCACTTCCTCTAGCAATGGCAGGTAGATCAGGACCACTCTGAGTAGTAGACCAGGCCCTCTGTAAATCAGATCATCAGATTGTCAGACCAGAGTAGAACTGAATGCCCCAACATCCAGCTTGTTCTGCAGGATGCTGCAGTGGCCATAAGCACTCTCTCAAATTGCAGAGGATAACTGAAAGGGCATTTGTTACTAGCTGGGTTTGACAAGCAGCTTGTTCTACAGAGGTCCTAGTCTACTGTCTTCCCTAATGACCTTGGGGGTGATATTCCTCTCCTGGTCCAGCCACCTGATCAAAAATAGTCATGAGGGAAGTCAGCAGCCACAGAGAGGAGGGAGAAGGTTTCCAGCAGCTGCAAATGGCCTATAGGAGCTGGGCAGATCTCAGCCACTGCCCTGCTGTGGTTGCCGCTGATGCAACACAAACTGTGTATAGAGCAAGGCTTGCGCTGGGAGGAGATGGAAGACACTACTTCTTCACTGGATCAGAGAAAAACAAAGTTAGTTGGCCCCAGCTGTGGACTGGGGATGAGGGGACTTTATCATGCCTTCATATGGCACATGTGCCCAACAATTGTGTGACCCCATCAGCCAACCACCACTGACCATTCCAGATTGTGAACATCTTTGGTTCTTTTCAACCTCAGAACCTTAGGCTTGATTTTTTTTCCCCTTCCTGTATGTCTGGTGGAGAAGAAACTCACATTCAGGCAAGGCCATTCCCTATTTGGGAGCAGGGAGGAGATCCTTTCTCTTGGACGATTGCCTGCCACACATTCTACCTCCTAACTCTGTTTCACTTGGCCAAGTTCAGGGAAAAGTCTTGCAAGGTGGTTTGCCAGCTTGCTGAACTGAAGACTGGCCGAGATAACACACTTCACAGAATGTATAGTAGTTGGAATAGCTCCCTCGCGTGCTGAAGGTTTAATTTCTTTTTCTGTTGGTTTCCTGGAAATGCTTGCAAAAGGGATGTAGATTCTCTCCAGTCTGATGGAGAAAAGAGTTGGGCTAACGAGCTGCCATTTTCAGAGCTTAATTCTTGGAGAACTGGGGCTGAATCCTGATGGCCTGGCAGCGCTCAGAGAGCAAGCCAAAGCCACACTAGCAGTATCTGAGGCCTGCGGAGGATGAAGGCAAACTGTGGGACACAGGGAATGATTTGCAGATGGAACAGATGTGGTGTAACAATGCTCAGCAATTGCAAGCCTAGAGGAACCAGTAGTTCTGAGAAAGGCAAAATAGGGAACTCCAGCTGGGAAGAAAAGTTAAGGTTGCATTCACCTAACTAGTGTCAGGCCTAGCCCAAGGAACTCCAAGAGACCATGCCAATTCAGTCCAGCTATGTTTGTTAGCTACAACCTCTAGCAAGAATCTTCCCAGACT